GAACTATGCACCTGTCTGTTTTTATCTCTGGCCCCACTCCCACCATGGGCAGAGGAGTCGGCCATTTTAGCAGACTTTTATCATTAAACACCTGGCTTTCCTCTGCCACCCTGACCCGTAATGTTGGTTTTATAGACAATTTTAACATTTTCTGGGGCAGGAGACACCTGTTTGGAGCGGATGGGCTTCACCTAAATAGACAGGGGACCCGTACTCTAACCATGAGCCTGGCTTGTCCACGACCCCCCCTGTCTACTCCACTGGCCTCATCTGCTCCCAATTCCTGATGTGTAGCTGGTCCCTGCTCCTACCAACCCAGCCCTGATTTTAACAGTAAATCACATATCGGACTTGGACCTTGCCATACCTCATTCATACCTGTTATTATCAGCAGAGAGTGCACAAACAACCATAAACCAAACAAAAGCAACCCCAATAATCTAAAACAGTTACCAAAAGTCCAACCTTCAGTTAATACAGTCACTCCTTCACCTGTTACTATTAATATGGCTCTTTTAAATGTTCGCTCTCTGCTGAATAAAACGGTTTTAATAAATGACCTGATTTTAGATCGTAATCTGCACTGTCTGCTTTTAACAGAAACATGGCTGAGTTCAGATGCACCTGTTGTTCTCACAGAGGCCTCTCCGTCAGATTTTTATTTTAATTTTTCAACGAGGAGTAGCAAAAGGGGAGGCGGTACTGCTTTTATTAGTTCATCAATACTTTCTGCCAAACCTGTTTTATTTGATCATTTTACCACTTTTGAATATACAGCTGCAGTTTTTAGCTCTCCTCAGATTTTATGTGTCACAGTTTATCGGCCTCCTAAGCAGAATGCCATTTTTATTCAAGAATTTTCAGAGTTTTTATCAATCCTTCACAACTGCTTTGAAAGGATCATTTTAGCCGGTGATTTTAATTTACATATAGATAATCCTTCTGATCCTTTTTCAATGAGTTTTAAATATTCTGAGTTATATGGAGTTTAGTCAACATGTCACACAGCCAACTCACAACAGAGGACACACCCTGGACTTGGTCATCACGTATGGCCTGTCCACCAGCGTGTCCTCGGTTATTGATTTGGCTGTCTCTGATCACTACTGTGTATTTTTTAGCATCACCAGTTTTATCCAGCTGGAACCCTCTGTGAGAACTGTAAGGAAGAGTCATCTCACCCCTGAAGTGGCTGCAGGTTTTCTTGAAGTTTTTAGAAAGATCCCTCCCACTCCGGCAACTGCCTCTTGTGATTTTACTGTCAATGATTTTAACCGTAGACTGAAATCCGCTCTCGACCTGCTCGCTCCACTTAAGATAAAAAGTTTTTATTCAAAACGTGCTTCACCGTGGAGAAATGAAAATCTAAAGAAACTAAAGAGAAACTGCAGGGTTGCAGAGCGGAGATGGAGAAAGAACAAAACAACTATAAATCATCAAATATATACAGAGCTTCTCAAATCATATAGTAACGCAGTGAGAAATTCAAGACACGCATACCTTTCCAAACTCATTCTAGACAATAAACACATTCCCAGAATACTTTTTTCCACCATAAACAACATTTTAAACCATACTTCCAATTCACTTCAGAAAACACCCTCAAATGCACTCTGTGAGGAGTTTGCAGCCCACTTCAGAGGGAAGGTAGACACCATCAGACGGAATATTTTATCCTCCATAAGTAATAAGGTCTTAGATAGATCTGGATGTGTGTCTATACCAGAGGAAACGCTGGACAGCTTTGTCCTGGTAGAAGCCGAGACTCTTGATAAAGTTTCTCCTCAGTGAGACCCACCACATGTGTTCTGGACCCAATTCCAACTTCGTTCTTTAAACAATTTTATGGATCTTTTAGTGATGAGACTTTAACCCTGATGAATTGCTCCCTTCAGACGGGGTCTTTCCTGCTGCCTTTAAAAGGGCGGTGGTCAGGCCCCTGTTGAAGAAGAGCAATTTGGATTTTAATGAATTAAACAATTATCGACCGGTATCCAACTTACCATTTTTAAGCAAAATTTTAGAAAAGCTGGTTTTAAATCAACTAAATGATTTTATAAACACTAATAATGTCCTAGAGAAATTTCAGTCTGGTTTTAGGGTGAACCACAGCACCGAGACAGCCCTTCTGAAGATTTTAAATGATTTTAGAGTAAATTATGATAAACAGAAGTTGACAGTGTTGGTTCTACTGGATCTAAGTGCTGCCTTCGATACGGTAGACCACACTATTCTTTTAACCCGTTTACAACAGATCAGCCTCTCTGGTGCTGTACATAGATGGTTCACATCCTACCTCACAGACAGGACTTTCATGGTGAGTTTGGATACCTGTTCCTCTAGGGTCCATGGGATTACATGTGGTGTGCCCCAGGGTTCAATTTTAGGCCCAGTGCTTTTTAATCTTTATATGCTCCCTCTTGGCAGTGTCATCAGGAGACACGGGGTCAGCTTTCACAGTTATGCTGATGATACACAGTTGTACATCTCCGTGTCTCCGGATGACTCTCGGTCAATGGATGCACTTTTTAACTGTATTTTAGACATCGAATCCTGGATGGCAGAGAACTTTCTCCAGCTCAACCAGGACAAAACTGAAGTTATAGTCATTGGTCCTGAGGCCCAGAGAGAGAAGCTTTTACCGAAATTACAATCTGTCTTTTAATCCATCTGAACAAGTGAAGAACCTGGGTGTGATTTTTGACTCTGAGCTGACTTTTATCCCACACATTAAAAATATCACAAAATAGGTTTTTATCATCTAAAGAACATCGCCAGAGTCCGCCCCATTCTCTCTCGGGCCAATACGGAGATGCTGATGCTTTTATCACCAGTAGGATAGACTACTGCAATGCCCTGCTTTCTGGTCTTCCAAAAAGAGCATCTCAGGCTTACAACTCCTACAAAATTCGGCAGCACGTGTCCTGATGAAGACCAGGAGGCGGGAGCACATGACACCAGTTTTAGAATCATTGCATTGGCTCCCCGTATGTTTCAGGATCAATTTTAAGGTTCTTCTAATGGTTTTTAAGTGTCTTAACGGTCTTGGGCCTTCTTATCTATCAGAACTGCTTTTACAATATGAACCCTCACGGACTCTGCGCTCCTCTGGCAGGCGTCTCCTGGTCATCCCTAAAGTCAGGACACAAACTCACGGCGAGGCGTCCTTCCAGTGTTATGGCCCTCGCCTCTGGAACGAGCTGCCGGAGGACCTCAGGGCCGCAGAGAACGTTCATGTTTTTAAGTCCAGGCTCAAGACCCATCTTTTTAGGTTAGCTTTTATCTGAATATTTACTACAGTTTTATTTCTCGTTTTACATGATTATATTTTATTACTTGCTTTGCATGTTCTATATGATTATAGTTTAGCACAGTTTTATTATTTAAATTATTATTTTACTGTCTATGATTTTATTTATTACTTATTTTCTAATTGTTGTCATTTATATTAGCTCTTTTATTACATTTTTACTCATTTTAATCCAGTGTTTCCTCTGTGGGGGCCCTCTGCCCCGGGAGCGGTGGTCGACTGTAGCTTCCTGGGCGCTCTATAGGTGGGGGTCTATGCTCCCCCTCCAATGAGCGCCCTGACTTAGTGTGGAAGACCTGATGCTGCCGGGGCAGACGGCTCCTCTGATGGCGTTTCCTTGCGTTACCATACTTGGCTCATCTGGACTCAGCCTAATATAATTTTTACTCGTGTGTGTGTGTGTGTGTGTGTGTGTGTGTGTGTGTGAGTCTGTGTGTGTGTGCGTGTGATTGCATATGTTTGTTAATGTTTTTAACCTGTTATGGGAATCTGGGGTCATTTTGTAAAGCACTTTGAATAACACTTTGTTTGAAAAGCGCTTTAGAAAAAAAATTTGATTGATTGATTGAAGCATGTCTCCTGGGCTACACCCCTGTTGAGCATCTGTGGGGCATCCTCAAGCGGAGGATGAAAGAGCACAAGGTCTCTAACATCAACCAGCTCCACCATGTCATCATGGAGGAGTGAAAGAGGATCCCAGTGGCAACCTGTGAAGCTCTAGTGAACTCCATGCCCAAAAGATTTAAGGCAGTGCTGGAAAATAATGGTGGCCAATCAAAATATTGACACTTTGGGCACAATGGGGACATTTTTACAAGGGTGTACTTATGTTGCCAGTGGTTTATAGACATTTATAGCTGTATTTGGAGTTATGTTGAGGGGACAGCAGATTTACACTGTTATACCAGCTATAGACTGACAACTTTACATTAGGTTAAAGTGTTATATCTTCAGTGTTGTCCCATGAAATTTTATAAATGTTTATGACGCTTTTGGCCTCCAGCAATGGGTTAAAGATAGGGGTGCAACGGTACAGGTAGCCCACGGTACGGTCCGTACCTCAGTACTTAGGCCATGGTCCACGGGATGGTTCAGTACATGTTTGTGCAGAAGGAGACAGTGTTTATTCCAAAACATGCATTTTATTTTTCTTCAGAGCGAAAACAGAATGTCACAATTGTAAGAGCATCAGTATATGAAATAAGTTAAGATTCTCTGCATTGAACACTAACAACCTCTTTCAATTATCACTTGTATGCAATACAAAATATATAAAAAAAAATTACAAAATGTAAACAAAGACACTTGAAAATATTTTAATGGTTCCCAACCATGATACGTGATACATGAGGTAAGCAATGCAAAAGTAAAAGTGCATTTTGCGTTTTAACAAACAGGAGTTAGCTTGTGCTGTAACATCACAGTATGGAATAAATGAACCCCCTTTAGGCTGTACTGAACACAAAATAATACAACCTCTTCTTCAAGTATCAGTAGTGAATTGAAATTTTAAAATATACGCAATGTAAAACAAACACACTAAATAAACAATTCCCATCCTCGACAACAATGTGAACGAAAAAGTTTGGTTTACCTTTAACAAAAATTAATTAGCTTGTGCTTAGAACAAAAAAAGCAGAGCTAAATAATTTAGTAAATAATCCTGCACTCAGCATAAAAAGTGCAATATTTACTCATCCACTATTGAGAGATTTTTGTGCAAGAAGATGAGTCTATCAACACTGTCTGGTGCAAGGCGAGACCGGTTTGCACTAACAATGTCCCCAGCAGTGGAGAAGATTCTCTCACTAGGAACTGAAGTCCCTGGGACACAGAGGAGCCGTTTTGCCACTTTTGCTACATGAGGGAACCTATGCTCATTGGTCTTCCACCACCTGAAAGGATCGGCATCAACGCCAATGGAGTCTGCCAACCTGTATGAAGCAACTTCATCCTCGACTACCTGGGCAAGAGTTTTGACCTGATCTTGTTTTTTAAAAACCTCCCCAAATAGCTCTGCCATTGCCGTCTTCTTTGGAGGGGGAGAGGCTGACTCTTGTCCCTCTGTGGGTGGCATCGACTCCGGCTCCAGTTGTCTCTGGAAAAACAATGACAATTTTTTAATATATAGAATAACAGCTGTTAATATTTATATTTTGCTCCTGTGAACTCGGTGTAATTGCCACAACAGAGAAAAGCTAAATTGCTGTTTGATCATCGACAGATCTGTACAAGTATGAAATGTTAAAACCTCTATATAAATTTTTAACAAAAAATGAAATATAAATTCAGCCATGGATTCACAGGAAATATGATCAACATACCTGTGGTTCATTCTCCAGAATTTCTGTGGCAAGATCTCTGTAGAGTCTGTCAAGGGAGGCTTCATCATGTGAGGGCAGGGATTTAAACCTGGGATCCAGGGCTGTGGCTTTTTGGAGGTACTTCTGAAGGTCAGGGTCGGTGTACCTTTTATCCAGGTCCTGTGCGATGGCGTCTTTTGCCTCTTTGATACCTGCACTGTCTTCACCTCCAGGGGCCATGCACTTGAGAATCATTTCTTTCAGTGGGAGGATCATTGACATTGTAGGGGTTGTTTCACTGCTCATGAGTGTTGTCACAGTTTTTAGAGGTTTGAGAATTTCATTTAGTTGTTCTGCCATTTTTTGCTCAGCATCAGTCAACATTGCAATGTCCTTGACGTGGCTCTTCAGATTCTTGTCCATTGTTAATGCAGAGTAGATGGCAGGCTGCTGTTCAACATATCGTGACAACATGTCATGTGATGTGTTCCACCGGGTTATCACATCATGAATTAACTTGTGCTTTGGTAAGTTTAGCATTTGCTGCTTCACAGCAAGTGCTTGGTTGGCTGTGGTGCTGCGGTGAAAAAAGGTGACAACTTTCCTCACTTTCCCAAGGAGGCGGGACACACCGTTGATTGACACAGCCCTCTTTGCAGCGAGATTCACAGAGTGAGCAAAACAGCTGATCTGGGGTCCCAGCTCAACAGTTTCATTAACTGCATTAACAATGTTTGGAGCATTATCTGTGGCGACGGGTATAGTTTTGTTTGGCCGCTCCAGCTTCCACTCGGTGACTGCATTTTTTTAACTCTTCTGCTAAATGCGCACTTGTGTGGCTTTCATAGAGGGGGCGAGTCTGCAGCATGGCACTTTTCATCTCCCAGTCCAGCATGTAGTGAGCCGTCACAGTCATGTAGCTCTGCGTTGCCCGAGAAGTCCAACTATCAGTGGTCAGTGCGAGGCTTTCTGCCTTAGCCAAATCACTCTCGATGGCGTTGCGCGTTTTGTCGTAAAGACCAGGGATGACGACCTGACTAAAATGTTGCGACTGGGCACAGAATAACGTCGGTCGAGCGTCTTCATTAAATGTTGAAAACCAACATCCTCGACTACAGAAAAAGCTGCACCTGCTACTGCATTAGAAGCTGCACCTGCTGCTGTATTAGCAGCTGCACCCGCTGCTGCATTAGCAGCTGCACCCGCTGCTGTATTAGCAGCTGCACCCGCTACTGTATTAGCAGCTGCACCCGCTACTGCATTAGCAGCTGCACCTGCTACTGTATTAGCAGCTGCACCTGCTACTGTATTAGCAGCTGCACCCGCTACTGTATTAGCAGCTGCACCCGCTACTGTATTAGCAGCTGTACCTGCTACTGTATTAGCATCTGCACCTGCTACTGTATTAGCAGCTGCACCTGCTACTGTATTAGCAGCTACACCCGCTACTGTATTAGCAGCTGCACCCGCTACTGTATTAGCAGCTGCACCTGCTACTGTATTAGCATCTGCACCTGCTACTGTATTAGCAGCTGCACCTGCTACTGTATTAGCAGCTGCACCCGCTACTGTATTAGCAGCTGCACCTGCTACTGTATTAGCAGCTGCACCCGCTACTGTATTAGCAGCTGCACCTGCTACTGTATTAGCAGCTGCACCTGCTACTGTATTAGCAGCAAAACAACAAACTGCATCCATGCAGTTTCTCAGTGACTTTAAAACATCACCTCCACCATAAAACTTTTTCTGATGCTCCAAATACAGAAAAACATCCCTTACCAGGGTTTTAGAATAAATAAAATCATCATAAGTTTAAATAAGTTTAAATGTTAAATAATAGTTAACATCACTTAAATGCAACAGCAAATTCTCTCATTGCTACTGAGCATTTTCTCCACTTATGTGGTTATGATATAAGGCTGTTGCTGTAACTGGGAAGTGAACTGTGCTGGGCCAAACTAGGAGAATATTAAGATTTTCTGAGGGAAAGAGAAAAACAATTGTCTACCTTTCAGAAGAGGAAATGGCAAAAAACTACATGGAAAATATGTGAAAACGTTTGTTTTTAACCCCAAATTAAACAAGTTTACCTAGATCTTAAAAAGCAGCTCAGATGATCAAACTGCAACTATGATTCTGATAACAAGCTAACTAATTGAACTAGCTCCTCTAAGATAAGCGGCTAGCAGAGCTTCTGACTGACAGTTTATGTGCAGCAGCAAATCAACTATCCTGATTAACAAGGTTATAAAAGCTCATAAATGAAAAATCACTTTGATGTGTGGGGGAACTTTTCCAGGGCCTCTTTAGCAGGGTGGGACTGGGTGGAGAGTGCTGTAGCCTTTTAGCTGGAAGCTAACCGGAGCCTGGGGCTAACGGTGGGTTGGTTCACCGGCACGTGTCGGAGTCAGCCCGGTAAAAATGATTAACGACACCGAGCGGACTCACGTTCACGTTTGAAAGCAGCGCTGAATCCAGAAACATCGACACAAAGTGCGTTCGTTGCTCTGAGCCAGCATGACGAACAAGGGAACAGCACTGCAAACTCTGTTCGGGTGTTGCTTTCCAAAAGGGTTTATGTTGGGGCGGGCGTATTACGTGAAGGGAACCATCTGATTGGCCACATATCAGAAGGACTACATTTGATTGGTCAAATAATACTTCCGCTTAAAAAACAGAGCTGGTTTACAAAAAGCTGATGTATGACACGGATGGAAATGTTTGAACCAAACATTTATCGCCGTTTTTGCCGTGTTTTGCGATGGGCCTATCGCACGTCCAGTTATCGCGATGACGATAATTTTTCGATATATTGTGCAGCCCTATGGAAAACAATACATTATTTGATTAATTTCAATCAGCATTCAGACGATGCCACAGAACTGAATCCGCCCTCATTCCTCAATGACATTTTGGTCGCGTCAGACTTGCGTCTCATGCTCTTATTGGATCTGGCTGTGACATTTAATACTGTAGATCGTGGCATTCTGTTGCAATGTTTGGAATCATGGATGGGGTAACAAGTCCTGCCTTAGAATGGTTTCACTCCTATTTATACAGTAGATCCTTCAGTGTTAATACTGGCGACTGCTCCTCCCCCTGTGTCCCATTGCACTGGGGTGTCTCGCAGGGCTCTGTACTGGGACCTCTACTTTTCTGTATATATCTTCTACCTTTGGGTAACATTCTGAAATGCTTTGGTCTCACCTACCACATATATGCTGTTGATCGCCAGCTGTATGTTGCAGTGGATAAACCAAATGCTTCCTCGATGTTTGCGGAGTGTTTGACCATGGTGAAAGACTGGTTAGCTGCCACCTTTTTGCATCTCAATAAGGCTAAAACTGAGGTAATCTTATTTGATCCACATAATGTCTCCCATGCCAGTCTTTCACATAAATTTCCTGATCTCAATTTTAAAGGCTGTCTGACTAGCCTTAGGCTCAAACTGAATACTGGTCTCTCAATGGTTCCTCAAATAAACACTGTGGTAAAATCATGCTGCTTCTGGTTGCGTCAACTAACACTTCTGAAACCATTGTTGAAGAGGAGGCACTTAGAATCAGTGATTCACGCTTTTATAACCTCCTGCCTTGACTATGCCAACGCTCTCCTAATCGGCACCCATGTCTCAGCTGTGAATCGCCTTTAGGTTTTTCAGAATGCTGCTGCCAGGTTTTTGATGTTTTAAGCAGAACTCTGCATACCAGAGGAGTGGAAAAGTCGCCTACAGCAGAAATTAGCCAAGAAGTGGCATGTTTTTTCCTTGCATGAGTGGGATGTGGGTTGTGCCAAGGGTGTTGAACACCACATACGGCTGCATGATCCCAGACCTTTCAGGGAAAGGTCACGGTGTCGCGTGCCCGTCCCATTTACCGGTTCCTTTAAAACCCAGTTCCGTTAGAACTTATGAGACGGTGCATCCATCAGGGTTCGAGGGGATGTCGGCGAGTATAATTGTACTAGACCCGGGTTTGGACCATCTAATTAGAATCTTGTCTTTTATTTTAAAGGTGAAATGACTTGCACGAATAGCCAGCCCCAGAGTACTCCACTTCTTTTAAACTCGTTACCTTTTGGTTAAGATACTAGAGAGAAGTCTGGAGGCAAGCCAAGCCTCTCAGCAATTGTTTGGATTACCCGGAATTAATTGCGCCTCTAACAGCTTATGTGGGAGGTTGGTAACTATAAAATGATTTATGCTAGTTGATCAGGCTATCATAAGTTTATCAATTTATTTATTAATCCAACCTTCCAGCTGATTAGAGACTTTTTCAACCTGCAATCAGAGCCAAAATAACCTCGAATATTCTGCTTTTATCGCCCTTAAGACAACTCGTTACTCGCAAGGAGGGGGAAGTTAAAACTTCCCTTATCTTAAGGTTTCTTTATATTATTCTATTATAAACTGTAAAGTAAGTCCCGATAATTCAGAGACCGATCATCGATATGCTTACCTCTGTGCAATTTATGGCCAGGGCCCCAAACGTGAGGCTTTAGAGAAAACCTGAAAGAATCAGGATTATGTTTCTTTTTCAAAAAAGGTTTATTACAAAATCAAAATACAAAAATGGGTAAATAAAAAACAACTGCTATCCCCCAAGGAGGGATTAGTTCAAAATGATTAAATAAGAGTTAGTTTACACCAGCTCTTGTCTTCTCAGAATCTCCCCAAAAACTCTCCCAAGTCTTCTCCAAGAGTCCCTCTCTCTGTCATCCCCCATCCAGGTTTGGACGGGGGATGACCCCTCCCCATCTGCTCTGCCTCTCTGTCCTCTGCCCCAACTGCTGTCGAATCTCCGAATCTCTTCCCGATCTGAGCTGCATCCTTTTATATCATTTCTGAGACTGCTCTAAACAATGTAAGAGTCACAAGTCATTCTCTCCTGACAGTTTAGGTCAAGGGGTCATTTACCAGATACACTTTTTTAGCTCTACATAAGACATTTGGTATCATTTTCACTACATGCAGTATTCACATGAGGGCACAAAAGTTACATGCTGCACTCCTGGAATGAGAGCACAGGTCATAAATCTTCATGTTGGTAGCAAATTGTAGATCTTCCCTCAGCATTCTTGAGAGCTTCTGGGTCCAGATGGACTGTCCTCACTCCATTCCAGTCCTTCTTTTCCCGCCAGAGGTGGAGTTAGGGGCGGGCCCATGGGTGGACCCATGGGTGGATCCACAGAAGCCAGCCTGTCTTTTGACCCTTTGCCTAGTTCTGTCCTCACCAGCAAGTCCTGAACTATTGTCCTCTTGACCCTTGTGTGACCCTTGTCTCTGACCACTGTTTCTAAGCCTTGACCGGTTGCTCGGACTTGCAACATCCCCCATGGGGACGAACTGAGGCAAAGGACCATAAAAAGATAGAGCAGCAATGCAAGCCTTCATAAATCTAGCATCCATCTCACTTAGGAACGGCTGAACACTCAGACACCTAACTGTGGCCTCCACATCAACCCTCATTCTCATCATAATGCCATCATCAGCTACGGGTAAGCACAAGGTCCCTTTGCGGGTTGTTACATAACCTTTAAACTGCCTCCTTCCATCTGTGGGATCTTCGCCCAGAAAGAATAAAGATAAATCCATCACTGGAGCCTCTCCACGCGGAAGCGATCCCATCATTTGCGGTGGGAAGCTGGCGCTGAAAACCAAAACATGATTTTTTGTATCCAACAAAGGTGCGGTCCCAAAAGAGTCACAGACTTCTGGGCCGAACCATCCAGTCTTTACAGACAAAATATTCATAAACTGAAAGAAATCTATAATCTTGCCTTGACAAACAAAGTAACACCCCTTCTGGGATTTAATCCTCCATCTCATTTCTCTCCCAGGTGCGATTCTGACAGGGGGAGGAATGCCTGCTGGCTCACTACTTAGACAGACCATAGGGATTTCCCGTATCACATCAGGACACGGGACGCATGTCGAAGCTGCCGTCATTACTGATACAACCTCTTCAGCCACGTCAGATGAGGGCGCCGTTGTCAGCTCCTCGTCGTGGGCCTGCTCAAGCAGGGCATCTACTCCCGGAGAGGACAACATTA